GGGGTTTGGGTTTGGGTTTGGGGGTTTAGGGGTTTAGGGGTTTGGGTTTGGGGGTTTAGGGTTTAGGGTTGAGGGTTGAGGGTTGAGTGTTCACTCCTGGAAGGGGTTGCTTTTGGGGTTAGGGTTTAGGTTTGCAGGATTTTGGCTTCAGGGTTTATCCGGGTGTAGGGTCTGGGGCAGGACTTTAAGCTTTAGGGCCTGCTTCAAGCTATCTCTGCACTTGAGGGTTCAATCTAGGAATGGTAGCAGTTATTAGAAGTCTTGCGTGGGTTTGCTTCTTATGGCTTTAGTCGAATATCCACCAAAGCCTATCTGCAGCAAGTTGTAGATGTCTTCTTTACAGGTGTATTTGCACATTCTGTGAGGATGCCTGTGTCGTCCTTTGTTTCGCTCTTCGTTGACAGTCTTTCGCCCGCATCACCACCAAAGCCCCATTCAAACTATTAAGGCCCTAACTTCTAAAATCCCAGACACGGAGCCCTTAGAGAACTCTTTTGACACAACACCTAGGAACCCTACTCTAATTATTAAGGGCCCCCGCGCTACAGTTTTGGTTTTGAAAACCCTAAACCCTAAACCCTAACCGGAACCCCAAGTAATACAGGGGCCTCAATAATTACCTGTACTATTTTGGGGGTTCCTTTTTGTAATTAGACTATAAAGAACCCCCAAAGCCCTATTCTACTTATTAAGGCCCCTACATTACGAGAGTCGGATTGGGGAGCAAAACTACAATTCCGGCTTCTGCAGGGTTCCTTGAAGGGTTCCTATCAGGGCTCCTTGAAGGCTTCTAAAGTGCCTTTATGAGGGCTTCTATGTGTATTTTAGGAAGTTTCATATGTCTTTAGATGGGAGCCGTTTGCAGGAGTTGCAAGGCTTTGGGGTTTTGGGGTTTAGTGCACAACAACTTTTCCGGATTGAAGGGGGTCACTCGTGCATCCTTCCCCCTGGCCGTGCTCAGGAAAACGTCACCAAAGTCGATGAGCAGTCAAAGATCTGTTTGCTCGGACTGGTACCTGGCTTGAATCAGCTTGAACTACGATGTTTCGGCGGATGGACAAATACTGCATGACCAACACAAGAACATACATTAGTCCTCCTGGTTTAGGGTACTTTCGGTCACGTAGATCTTGCCCATCAGCAGCACCATAGCTTGCTCCCTTATACCAAAACCCAGCCAGCATTGGCAGGCAGTTCGGGATGTAGTTAACTATGTTCTATTCGTTAGAAATCTTGTTCGATTTATGGTATGTAGATTCCCCAAACCCATTCTTGTAATTAAGGCCCCTATATCTGAATAACGTGCAAGAAGGTGGCAGCAGTAGTCGGACAGCCCGTCGTAGTGCGCTAAGCAGGATGCAGCATGTATCTAATGTACCCGCTGAGGGAGGTTCAAGCTTGGCACCAGATCTTTGCTGCTTTGGCCGTTGTCCGCATCAGCAATGGCGCTTGCAGTGCTGCAGAGTTGGTCCCTCGTCCCATCGCCAATGCCATGTGAGCAGTCTAAGGGGCCGCCACCGACACCGCAACAGGCGGTCCTCGCTAGCTGGCCTGTGACATTCATTGCCTTTGCACTTGCAGGCCGGGTGCTTTTCGGCGCGAAGGCCGACGAGGTTTTCTCGGAGCTCATGATGCACTTCTCCCAATCTCTGGCCTATTTGCCCATGCTTGCCCCCTACTTGACGGTGCTTGTCCTGGCTTTCGTCCTTCAACGGGGGTTTAGCCATTCGGGACTGGAGCAAGGTGATGTTGGACCGCAGTCAGAAAGAACAGGACACGAACATGAAGCGCATAGACGCCGACGTGAAGATTCAAGAGGATCGAAGGCAAACTGCAGCGGCTGAGCGAGCAGTTGAAGAAGGGTTCAGGGTTCAGGGTTTAGGGTTTAGGGTTTAGGGTTTAGGGTTTAGGGTTTAGGGTTTAGGGTTTAGGCAGAAGGGAGAGGATGAAAATGGAGCAGAAAATGGAGCGAGACCGCCAAGCCAAACTTGAGCGCGACAGAGAGGAGCGCCAAGCCGAACGCGAGTGGCAGTCGAACAAAAGCAACAGTGGTGGCTGCAGCATGATGTAGCGCGGCCACCTCGTGAGTGCCGCAACGAAGCATAGGAAAGACTTCCCTACAGTCCCTTTTGTTATACAGGTTGATGCACAAGTTGGTAGCTGCCGCTCAGCCTGACAAGACGCAGGGAGCTAGTTTCCGTAGCGCAGGGGTTGTATACTTTTGTACATCCTTCGTCCCCCTGCCCTTCTATCACACCTGCTGTATTACAGATTATTACAGAGCCAACAGTCGCAGGGAGCTTCATGGAAAATGCCGCCTTGACGCAACCGCGACATTGCGCCCTCAACATAAGCAGACGTCCGATCATGGGAGTTGCATAGCAGCAGACCGGGAACTCTAGACATCCGGCGTGGTTTTTGGTTCTTTCGCTGAGTTTCCGGTTTCATAAGAGCGTAATTCGTGATATCACTCATCTAGACTAATTAGCTTGTTTCCTTCAGTTTTCCTGCATCAACAAGTGGTATGAGATGTATAGGATGCAGCAGCGCCATTGTACTAGATAGTGCCAAGAAGTCTCATGATTAGATGCGACTATGCAATGAAGAGAAGCATCAATGACTCAATGTATCTGCGTGCTCGTGAAATGCAAACTCTGATAAAAGGGCATTCTGCATATCGGAAACTAAATACAAAACCAGAAGCCGTCTAGCCTTAACTTATGTGCTAGACTCTAAAACCCTACAAACCCTGAAGCCCCAAAGCCCTAAACCCTGAAGCTATCCCGTATTTCAAAGCCCAGGTGTGCATGCAGTATTACTTTGCCCACATGCTCCTTCACGAAGTGGGCAGCGGGGCGGCTCAGGATCCCGCTGGAGAACGGTTCCTCTATAAAGGAGAATAGGTTCATGTGACCTGCAACAGCTACAAACGCACGCGTGCACTGATAGATGGGCAAATATAGATGGATGGACGGATGGATAGATGGATAGATGGATAGATCGCTGGATCGATCGGTAGATAGATAGCTTGACAGCGGTACAGATGTGGGTATGCATCTGGGTCTGGCTATGGGTATGGATGTGGATGTAGGTACATGGATATAGAGGCACAAGCCTATTTGCAGACGTGCACATATGTCACATGTGTATATCGGCTTGTGCACAATTATACTAGGAGGTTCATGGGTAGTTATAAGTAGGGCTACAAGTAGGGTAGCTATACTTATAACCCGGCTTACGGGACTTATAGCCCCACTTATAACTACCCATGAACCTTCAAGTAGGAACGTACCAGGAAACCACTGTATGCACTCCTTGCATCCTGAAGCCCGAGGTGTGGAGGCAGCTGCAGAGGCTTTCCGGATGATGGATGAGCACTCAGGAGCTCAAGCTTTCGGGCGTAGCATTTACGGCTTAGGTGGCTCGGGGATGTTCGTGCTCGAAATGCTATGCTTCTCGGAAGGTCTTTGTTTCGCAGTGAAGGATTTTGTGTGTAGAGTCAGGTCCACAGAGTTCGGTTCTGTAGGCCCAAGAAACGCCTTTCGATGATTCTGGGCCTTGAGATTTCGACGTTGCTCTCCTGTTATAATCCTTATTCAGGGAGGGGAGTCTTAATTAATATGTAATATAGGGACCTATACTATTTTTTGGGGGTTCCGTCTTATAATTGTAGTATCATGTATTATAATTATTCAGGCCACTATATTATGTAGGCGTCTACATACACAAACTTCAGACCTTTCTTAAGCAAACCCTCCAACTCTCCAAAAGCCAGGCGCCCTCCATCCTGACCTCTTCGACAAGGCTGCTGGCTACGGACACTGGCTCAGTGTAGGCTTTGGGACCATCGCAGGAGTCCCAACGAGGGGGTTTTAGTGAACAGGTTTTGGTGGGTGATCCTCTAGACAGTTGCATCTTTCGCAGGTGGTTGGACTAGGGTGACTGCACCGCATAATCAGTCTCTCGTACGGTTATCAGATGCCAGCTGCACGCATATCATGTTCCCGGCCCTAAAAACGACAACTATGCATTGTGACGCATTTCGACTGTAGCGTCGGGCGAGTCGATGGAACTGCTCCTGCTGGTGTTGGGTGCCGCTTGTTGTTGTTGGTCCTGCTGAGTTGTTTTGTTGCAGCCCATGTTGCTGGTATTACTGATGGTGCTGGTGGCTGCTTCTGCAGGGGCATCTTCCAATAGTCTCGTTGTTTGGGCATTCGGCCTCATCAGTTCGAAGCCAGTCATACGACGCACGCCCGCACAAGTGACGCGTGCCCGCGAATCACGGTTGTCTTCCTCACCTGCCTCTTATTGTTGGCTACTATCAGCATCAGTACGATTATTATTGTTATGCTTAGTATGCCTTATTGTCATTATTTCTGTCGGTGGAGAAATTTGAGGTCTGGTGCCCGGCTGCCCTGATACCCTGTCCGAACATGGTAGCTCCCAAGGAAAAACGTGGCCGGTCACCGCAGACATGCTGGACAGCTTGAGGCATCGAGAGCCAGTTTAGGTTTAGGAGTTTAGGGTTTATGCTAGGTGTTCTTGTGAGGTATTTTTGTTGCAGTCACCGTTCTCTTCGATATCTTGCAGAGAAGACAGCTTCTCACCTTTGAGCCAGAGTTCTCAAGTGCATGACTTTACATACTGCGATCTACGATACTCCTAGACGCTACAACCCATTCCACCCTAGCTAGTCCAGTCCAGGGCCAATGCCATAGTTTAGGGTTTAGGGTTTAGGGGGCATACCAAGTTTGGACAAACGTTCAGGTTGATTTTAACGGCCACTTCAGAACCGTGTAAACAAACTCGTCCAGTTTCGTTTGCAAAAGCCATACTCGCAACCCTGCAGCTCACCCACAGATCCCAAACCCCAGACCCTAAACCGAGAACTCGAAAGGGATCATGACTTATAAAACCCTGTTGAACCCCCCAAACTCCTTCATGCTCAACCGTAAACCTCCACCCTAGATCTTGAATGCATAGGAGTAAAACGGTGGTCAACAAGATAAACATAAACACCCTAAACCGGGAAGCCTCAACTCTAAAGCCTCAAAAAAAGGCTTTCGAGGCATCCTGCATACCGCAAAGGAGCCCTTAAACAGACAGCCTATATAAACCCTGAACACTACATCCTAAGACCCTAAGCCCTAAAAAAGGATAAGGAGCCCTTAAACAGACAGCCTAAACCCTGAACACTACATCCTAAAACCCTAAGCCCCCAAACCCTTGCTGTTAGGATGTCATGGCATAACCCTAAACCCTGAACACTACATCCTAAGACCCTAAGCCCCAAACCCTTGCTGTTGGGATGTCATGGCATAAGTCAACGTTTCATGTTGGGAGCTGAGGCGTGCAGACGAACCAAAGAGACCGTCACCCCAACTTTTAAAAAAACCCTAAACCCTAAACCCTAAACCCTAAGCCCTAAGCCCTAAACCCGAAACCCAGCTTTAAAAAAACACTAAACCCTAAAACCCTTCTTCGTTGTTGCAGGCGGGCCCTCCTCCGCGCTTCCGTGGGGGGCGGCCACGGTGGCCCAGACCGTCGCCGTCGCTTCAAGAGCTCCTCGTGCTGCAGCGGTTGTGGATTAGGTCTCCTGTTTTAGGGTTTAAGGGTCAGGGTCTAGGTGTTGGAATTATCAGAGTTGAAGGTTTGGAACTAAAGGTTGAGGATCTGGACAGGAGCGTGTACAGCCCGGATCTTGCTTGTGGGCTGGAGTTTAGGTTGCATCACTGCAGGTTTCCTCTTCCGGGATGTGCAGGATCATCGCTCAAACTTTCCGTGCGAGCTCCTGAATCTTAACCGTAAGCCCTGAACCCTTAACCTGAACCCGAAGCCTTAAACCTGAATGCTGAACCCCAAGCCCCAAAGCATAAGCCTTAGAAGCCTACGCAGACGAGCCAACAACGAAACGAAGGACCTTTCACCAGCATGCAAGGGTCGATCGAGTTAGCCTTGAGAATCCCGAACGTTTAGACCGTAATCCCACAAGCATAACTTAGTTCCCCAATACCCCCAACCTTTGAAACTTTTGGTTCTTATAATTAGTAGAATTCTGAAAGTTTAACCTTGTATTTCCTTGGCTTATTGGGGAATTAAGATAATGTAGGGGCCTAACTAATTGCCTATACTATTTTGGGGGGCTCCTTGTTATAATGAAAGTATAATACATGATGCTCAAGGCCATGAAAGTAGGGGCCTAAAAAACTACCTCTACTATTTTGGGGCCCCAAAGCTTTATTCTGATTACTAAGGCCTCCATATGTCCTAGGACCTAGGCTTTTACCAATAGTAAGTCTTCATAGAACTCCTTATAGTACCTCCCTAAACCCTAAACCCTAAACCCTAAACCCTAAACCCTAAACCCTAAATCCTAAACCCTAAACCCTAAACCCTAAACCCTAAACCCTAAACCCTAAACCTCTTTGCAGCAACCCTTTCGGTAAACCGCCAACAGGAAGCCTCAGCCCTGAACCCACGTCCTGAGCTGTAAGCTTTCCGCGAGGTGCCTTTGGTCTTCATGACGAAGATTGGGCCAAGGCCACCCGCTGGGGTTTAGGGTTTAGGGGTTTAGGGTTTAGGGTTTAGGGTTTAGAGTTTAGGGTTTAGGGTTGTTTGCCGCACAGCACTGGCCAGGTGTTCATGACGCTAAACCGCTAAGCCCTGAATCCCAAGAGCATTGAAGCCTTCAAGGCCCCTCAAGCCTTAAATGTCCCGAAAGGCCCTCTGAAGACTCTAGCACACGAAATCAAGTAAGGTTAAAGCCAGGTTCTAACTAGGATGACCCCGCTCAGGGCGCCTAT